TAAAATAATTAGAATTTTAACTGTCAAAACGCAAAAATTGACAAAAAATTTTTTATCAAGTTTTGGCCATTTTCCATCAAGGTTCAGTAAATATCAGCGAGTGCTTACCGATTTTGTGATATAGGGGGTTAGATGAATACTGATTTGGAGGGATATTGTAGATATAATTTATTCAATGAAATACCGAGGGATTACGAAAGATACCAAGTGTATATTTTTGCTTGATTTTGCGTTAATTTCAACTAATTTATCAAAATAACACAAAGCACAACGCAAGGATATGATTTAACTCAAATACACCTTCTCTCTATCTGAAGTAAGGGAAGTTGTTTTTCATTTTCCTCACTGGGTTTGCCTAAGTAAACGAAGAGATAAGGCGGGATCGTATCCGGCCTTTTTCTGGCTTTTCTTGATTGACCGTGATGAATCGGAACGGATTTTCTCAGCTTTCTGTTTTAACAACAAAGAAGTGAATTCGGATAGCGCCGAGAATTTTCTCGCTGTGAAGGAAGCAATCGAACTTAAAGCACAGAATGTTCATTTTTCTAAACTTAGCTTTTTTACATTTAATTCTTCAGATTTTTATAAAACTTGCCCATTGCATATTCTTCCATTCCATTAACTTTTTTTAATTTAAAAATAAAATGGAAAAATAAAAGTAAAAATAAATTAAAAATATTCATTTTTTAAATTAAAAATTTATTTTACAATTAAAAACAATTTTTTTTATTTAAATGAATGTTAAATTAAATTAGACTGAGTTTTAATATAGCTATATTAAATCTTAAATAAATTGCTTTATTTCACGTCCATTTACTCTCATATAGGGCAAAACACAACTTTAATTTATTAATTATTAAATTATTTATCGACTCTGTTTATTTTTATTTATTCGGCATTAAAAGGGCAAAATAATAAAAGGGCATACATACCTATTTATAATTTGTTAATTGCTAATTTAAAATTTTATTAAAAATTATAAAAGAGCGGGCCGCTATAGCAATCCTCAAAGAAAAAGGTCATGCCAAAATTATGAAACGAAACGGTAATAGAGATCGGAATTTTAAAAAACCGGGTCCGGAACCGGGAAACGGGTTCTGAAGTTGACCGGGAGGGACCCGGACAGGGAAAACCGGGAATTCACGTTCCCGGTTTCACCCCGGTTGCTTCAAAAAAACCGGGAAAGGGACCCGAAAACCGGGAAACGATTCCGGGTCCCGACCCCGTTCCGATCTCTAGACGGTACACCTCAATTGAGTCCCGACTCAACTGAGTCCCGGACCCTATAACTTATGAGGGGATGGTACTTTATTTTGCTTTTGGTTCCATTGGATAGGGCATTAAATAGGCTACAATACTTATAATTTGTTCTAACCTACCGCCGACATTTGACCAGCAGCTAATACCAACTCAAAGGGGAACACTGCTCCAACATGATTGGAAGGTGTTCCAACACGGGAAAAATGTGTGACACACATGAACTAAAACAAACAAGTTCCGTAAAAACTGTATTAATGTTCCTCCCTCAAATAATTACCCCGCCTTTATTAGTTACCCCCTCCAGCGAAAGGTTGAAACAATAATACTCCTTTAAAAATTGTTATAATTAGCCTTTATAAAATAACCTCTATTAATTACCCCGCCTCTATTTATTACCCCCTTTAGCGAGAGATCGAAACAATAATTACTCAGGGTAGTTAATAGTTTTTACGATAAGTCACCAAATAGTTAATTAACTTATTTAACCTGTAAAAATTTTTAAAAATATTAAATTGCCTACTACATAATTTTATTTTTTCTCTACTTCAATTTAATTTACAAATAAAAATTAAAATATACAGGCTTTTAAATATAAAGACATTATCTTTAATTTTTAAAATTAATTGTATAGTATTTATCTTTAATAAATTTAAAAAAAATTTCTTATTACGTAAACAATTTTTATTTTAATTTTTAAAATTAACATTTAATTCTTCTGCTTTAACAAATCTTCTACCAAAATTAAATATTTATGTTGCCAGGTAACTAGGAAAATACTACAAAAAACAAAATGCTCGTCTCTCTTTTCTTCTATTTTTATTTAGCTTTTAATATTTATTTAATATAGAAAAATAAATTTCTTTTAAAATAAATTATTTTTTCCAAAGATTTTTCAAATTTAAAGATATAATTAAGCTTATATTAAGGGTAAGATTCGACCGATTTTAAAACCGAAATTTCTGATATTTTTTGCAGAAAATTAACTGTTTTTATGAAATTTTAAAAACCCCAAAACCGAATTTTTAAAATTGGAAATAACTGAAGAACGTGAGTACCGGTACATAGCCGGTTGTGTTCTATTCTACATACTTAAAATAAATTAGAGGACAGAACTCTTGGGGCGGTAATTTTTTAGAAAAATAAATAAATTACCTACATATTTATGTAGAAAGAAAATTAGAAAAAAACTTACCTATTTCTAAATAACCTCTAATTATCTAGGCTCATTAAAAGTTTTCAAAAAATATTTTCTTAAAGTTTACTTTTTACTTTTCTTATAATTAACTATTTTGTAATTTATCTGCCATTAAAACCGAAATGTAATACACTAAATATGTGTAGCAGGGCTGGATATTCCTCCGCTTCCGCCTACAGCTTTTTTTATTTTATTGCGCATTCTGCCGCTTCCACTTTCTGCTTTTTAAAATTCTAAATTCTCCAGCTCTGATGTGTAGGGTAAATTAACTAGCATTCGGCGTGGGAAGATAAGCTTGCAAGATTTTTTCTTTATTATTATTTGAAAATTTTTTGAATTTTTTTCCTTTTTCTATTATTTTTGCCTCTTTTAAATATTGAGAAACATTTTAGATCATTTAAAATGCAAAAAATGATAAAATATTAATTTAAAATTTCTTTTAAATATTCTTAGTATTGAAAAATAATTTTTGGTTTGTAAATTAACGAAACATTTTTTCTTTAAAAATTATTTCTTAAATTCTTTCTTCTTAAAAAATTTTTTTAAATATTTTTTTCAAGTTTACACTTAATTAATGAGTTCTCAAGTAAGTGAAAATTAACTAGTCAGGGAATATTATCTAATCAGTTTTATATTTATACATACTTCGTCTCTATTCTTTTGATAGACCTTTAGGACTTAGAAAATTCGGTTCTAAAACTAGAATTTTATCTATAATAGAGGTCCGACTATAGTCGATAACAAGAGTGGCAGTTTCGTTTTTAGGACGAATTCATCTTATTGGTGTTTCATCCTTCGCATTTTTTAAAAATCAGTTTCGGTACACCCTTGAAGATTAGTACGAATATACTTCCGTATTTTCGGGTTACAATCATACACTATTTGTCCCCGATTTCAAAAGAATCAGTGTCCAGATCCTTTCGTGTTCTACGGATATCCGCGATATTGCCATCCTACTAAATTAAAAGTATTTAGAGAAATTCAGAAAATATTTTTAAACTTATTTTTCTACAAGTTCTTTAAACTGTTATTTCAATTGGGCTCACAAGAGAATGGAGGATATGTTTATTTTGGTCCGGCCTATCGCCGATTGTTTTTCATGACCTCTACCAGAAGATGGATTATTCTTCTTTTATACTCTTTTTCAATTGTTTGTTATTTTTTCATAAAATATTTTATTAAATATAGACAGATCTAGATAAAAAAGAATTTATAGGGGACCAGTGTTGTTTATGGCTCCGGGAGCTAGCTACGGAGCTAAGATTTTGAAAACCCCGGAGCCGGAGCCAACAAATGCCCAAAACACAGGACTAAAAAGATATTAGTTTTATCCAACAGCTTGTTCAATCGCAAGACATTTTTGAATTCTTAGTTTTGGTCCGGTGTAAGATTAGTTTACGAAATTCGACCGTATAATATTGTCGGGAGACGGGACTCCCCGACAAATTGGATTTGGAGAGTCGTGGCACCAGACTGCGTCGGTAGTGCCGACGCAGTCAAAGGAACAAGAACTGTAAGTGAACCTTGAGGCGGTTCACTTTTTTCACTCAAACAAAAGAAAATTTGCACCAATTCAACAACAATTTACTTCTTCCAAAAATATTCGTAGACAAAACAACAAATTTAATTAAGCACTGATGGAACACAGAAGAAGCCAAGGATCAGCCAGCAGAAAGATTAGAGTTGAAATTGAAAACTGGAAGATTGAATGTTGAACTGGAAGATTGAAAAGTAATTTTGGGGGCTGATCCTCGGCTTTATATATCCAATAAATGGGGAGGGATTTGGAAAAATGCCAAAACAAACGAACATTTTAGAAATAATTGTAAAAGAAATTAGAGAATAAAATAGTGATAAAGCATTGAGAGGGGGAAGAAAGAGAACAAAAACACACAAAAAATGAGTGAGAGTGACCAGCACAAGCTGTCACTAAAAAAAGAACAGGGAATGGAATTTGGCGGGAAAATAAAATGGACGGTAAAAATAATGGGGTGAACGAGTGAAATTTTAACGAAAAGTTGACGGAAAAATAGGGGGGTAAAAAATAACAAATTAATTAAATTAATTAAAAAAAACAAATTAATTAAAAGTCGCCAAGAATTGGCGACACTCCCCCCAGCCTAGAAAATCCCGAAATCATAATCAAAAATAAATATTCAACCATCCCGTTTTTCTTCATTCCTGGGCCATATTGAAGAACCAGACGGTAGGTTTTGAGCCATATAGAGAGCTGTGGATGTGAGAAGGTGCATGGCAGTTTGACGTGTTGTTTCATTAGCATTTAATAATAATGTGGCTGGGCTGGGCAGGCTAGAGGCGATATTGATGGAATGACCCCGCACTATCGACAGTTTGACCGGACGTGGTGGTGGAAGTTTCTTTTCTTTAACTACGATTAGGTCGGCTGTGCTGGTCGCTACATTACGTTGTTTTGTATGATGGCGGTGGTGGTGACGCGTCCTTTCGCTACTCCCCCTTTTTTGAGACTTTGGTGAGGGGCGACGCTCTACCAGCGGACTATCTCGTCGTCGTCGTTGTTTCTCCGATGAACGACTTTTACGATGACGGCTTGGTGATTTACTTTCTTTTCGTTGTCCTTTCTCTGGTAGAAGTGCTGTCAAATCCGCTCTATCTTCTTCAGCTCTCTTCAAATAAAAATCTGCCGTTCGGAGTGCTGCCGCCTTTTCTTTACGTAGTATTTGTGTTGTTTTCGGATCACGTTCCTTAAGTCCTCCTTTGTCAGGCAGTTTTGAGAATGTGCGATAACGCCAACCAGGCCCTTCTTCGATAGCCTTCAATCTTTTTTCTTTAGAGTCTTCGTCCGTTGTTTCACCTCTCCGTTTTAACACTGACGGCTGCACGGTGCGCGGTTTTAGCTGCTTCAAGTCGTTTGGGGTCACGAGCCAATGCTGCGTTTTCCTCATTTAATTTTCGATTGCCCTCAATTGCTGCCATTGCGAGTTGAGAAGGTTTAGTTTTAGCATTGCGAAATCCACATTTTCGATCTCGATACGATTTGAGTCGTTTTTTGTCGTTGATTTGTCGTTCGCGCTCTATAGTAAGTTGTTGACTGCTGCTTTGTTTCTCGCTTGGTGGTGTTGTCTGTCCGTTGTCTGATTCACTAAAAATTAAACCTTCATCCTCTTCCGGCGCTTCTTGTTGTTCGTGTTGTTGGTCGCTACTAACATCTTCTTCCAGCTCTTCCACCACTTCATTAGTTGTTAATGCCAATCTTTCACGAAGTCGATTTATAGCCCATTTTGCTAAGTCCTTTTGGTCAACACTTCCACTAGAACTTAAATCAGCGTCTACACAAGCCAGTTCTTCCAACGGGTCACATCCAGGGGCACTGGTGATGAGTTTGGCAGCTTCCCGCATCACCCCTTTCTTTAATTCTTGATCCATTTCACGTGTTGTTTCCGCTGTTGCTCGTTCATTCACAATACTTTGTTGTTGTTGTTTCTCTTGTTCTGGCCGTTGTGTCAGTTTAAGGTTAGCGATAGCTTCTTCTTCCTCCAGCAGTCTCTCAGCAGTCTGTTGTTGCACGCTGCTGGACTGAATCTTCTGCTGTTCTCTCCATTCCGAAAAATAAGGACAAGCTTTATCACACGTACGATCCCCATGAGGCTGTGGCACCCCCTTGCTGACACATGATGAACACCGTGTTGTTTTAGAAGGTGGGGTACTAGTCACTGTTGTCGAAGCTTTTTCTTTAATTGGTGCTGGTTCCATCGTTACTGATTGTAGAAATTTCAAACTATTATGGCTAATTTTCAGATTATATAGATCGAATCTTTCCATCACTTCACAATTAGGAGGCGGAGATAAAGATAGGTTGCGTAAACTTTCTTTTAATCGGTGCAAATTTAATTCAAAAGAAATTTTTATTGCCACGCAGGTGGCTGGTGCAAAACAGTCCAAGTCAATGGCCAAGTTGAGCAGAGAAGACATCTCCTTTCCTTTGTTTACGCATAAATTAAAAGAGAACGTTTCTTTTGTATTTAGAGCCAAAAAACGAAAAATTTTCAAGTTTGGTGTGTCGATGACAAGCACCTTTTCACTTTCTCTCTTAGCTAGGCCAAAGAATTGCACACAGCAACATAAAACAGGCAGAGGGTGCAACCAGCCTTTCAGTGCGGGAGTATGGTTTAGTTGGTTAGTGACAGCGAAAAATGCACGAGGTTCGAATCCTTTCAGTGAAAATGAATTATATAATAAGGAAATCCTAATAATCTTTTCTAATTAACATTTAATGTCATTTTAAATTAAAATAAATTTTTTCAAATCAATCTTTCCTTTATTTTTCATTTTCTAAATTTACTTATAAAACCATATGTAACTTTTTTTAAACATATTAAAAATCAATAAATTCTGTTTTAAAACAAAGATAAGACTTTGTTTAACGATTTGGCTAAGTTGAAATTTTTTTCTCAAAGTTTTTTTTCGAGATAAAGCTTCTCGAAATTATACATCAAATCTTTAGAGAAATAGCATGCGAAAAAAATAGAGCGATATAGAAAAAGAGAAATTTTTTTATTTATTTCAGTGCCACTGAAACGGCTCTAAGTTGCAGGTTATGTTGCTGTGTTGCATTAATCGAATGGCAAAGTCACCAAAAATAATCGAAGAAAAAGTGACGATTGGGGATCGATTAAATTTAAACTGTTGGTCGTAATCTTCCCAATTTAGACATTCTAGACCGAAAAACTGATATTTAGATCTGCACACTGATATATATTGATTGGAGAAGTTATGGAAAATATTCAGAAATTTGGGTTTTTTATCCACTGAGTAGGTTTCCTTGTGTTCTTTGAAGGATTGTATTGCGTAATTGTGAGTTATCAGAGCTTTTATTGTGACTGGCTGTTTAATCATTTTCGATTTTAGTTTGTTTCTTTTGCACCCAGCAGTATCACTAATTTCTCCTCTAGCAGTCGCGGTAATTCCAGCTTGGTAAACACACCGGAACCTCCCAGCGGCCAAAAAGCTCATAATTTGGATCTCTGTTACAGCCGCGGTAATTCCAGCTTGGCTAATAGATAGGATTTTTTCAGCGGCCAAAAAGCTCGTTTTCGAATGATTTGTAGCAGCGGGTGTGGGTGACCAGATAGTTAATACCAAGGCTACTATTACAGTCGAAGCAAGTAAGTCACGTTGCTGTTGGGCTCTGCGTTCTCGTTGCCTTGCGCATTCCCTCAATATTGTCAGACCGAAATTCAGCACGAACAGAGCCACCAAGACAAAATAAGCTAGCAACACAATTCCATCGGATGGTGTATTTTCATGCTTATTTTCAAGGTTTGAAATTTTCAGTACTTTATGCTGTGCATGACTTTCCTGAGCCAATCCGCCGCTAATTATCATAAGTAATAACATCGCCTTCGTAAATTTCGATACATTATCAGGTCTATGACCTTGCTGCAGGAAAAGCCAAGCTGCCAGCTTATATGCTCGGTAAATCGGTGAGAATTTAATGGCCACGTACAAGGCAAATAGTCCAACTATCAACGCAAACACACACATAAGTAAAAGTGGTACACTAGCCCACAGGCGTATAATGGCGAACGGGTCGAAACTAAAGTCCATTGGCCAATTCCAGCCTTCATCCGGTTCAGTTTCCAATCGCTCGGACAGCCTCTGTTTATGTCCAAATTGTCGTTTAAGCGGGATATAGTGTAGTTCAGCAGAAATGTTAAAGGACGTCTCGCCGGCTGGACAGTCAACCATACAATTACTAGCGATTAAGGACCGGTCAAATGGTAAAACTATCATTTTCTCTGTGTTATTGATGTTGCATTGAGTGGCAAATACTACACCATCGTCACATTCGACTTCAGCAAGGGCAGTTCCCCAATCCGTACGACATTTATAACGCAGTTGCGCACCCGTAGGGCACTTGTAACAGCCAACCAATGAGATAGGTTCGATCCAACATTTTGAGTCCCGGAATTCCAAAATAAGTTGTAGGTCTTTCATTTGCACATGAAGTTGAACTGGGCTGTAGGAATGTTCGGCATAGATAGCTGGGCCTTCATTGTACACATAAACTTTAGCAACGGTGATGGGCAAGCGAGCCATAGGGTTCTCAAGTATTCCCTCAACATCCACATCCTGACAGTGACACGAAACAGATCCTTCCTCATGGTTTGGTTTACAGTCTTTACAAGTGTCGATATCCAACGTGCAATTGAATTGTCTAGCTGCATCCTCGTCAGCACAATGTAAGTGAGTCGGAATGTGTTGAATTAAAGCCGTTGCTCTACCATTAGTGATAAACCGATTGCTTAAAGTAGGCATAGGTGGTAATGAAACAGAAAGTGGTGTAATTGAAATGTTTCCCCAATTCGATGTCATTCCAGGTCGTAGGACTAGCTCAGTATTCCATGACTTTCCACCAGTAAGTTCAAGTCGTAGGTCGACGGGGAACGTTACATCCCATGCTGGACAGCTCACAACTTCAAACGGTGGTCGAGAGGTTGTTCGTGCATACCAGCGGTAGTAAAGACAAGCGGAGGCAGGTAGTCCACATTGATTTTGCCAAAAACTTGAACTGTCCACACAAAAGCTCTTTCCGGGGAAGTTGTTTACTTCTTTCAGTTCAGGAATTAACGAGTCGGTTGTTACCTCGGAGCAATAATTTCCACGACACGATCCGGCAGTAGGGCACCGTTTTATTGAGGAGACTTTCATTTCATAGGAACGCAACCAAGCCTCTGACTTTTGCAAACATTCCATCCTTATCGCGTGGAAGGTAGTGCTAAGTACGCCTAAGGCAAGTCCATGTTCGTCTTTCAATAATAAATTAGACGTTTGCCCGGCCGGCAAGAGTGTGAGTGTCGTAGCAGAACGAATCGTACAAACTAGGCCATGAGCCGATCGCAAACAACTTTCTGATTTTGTAACAATAGAGACCGTCTCAGATCCATCACACTTGTTAGTTAGAAGCAATATAAGGGCAACGATGGCTAACAGCCAATCAAATCTTCGCATCCTCTGATCCCGGAAACGTCGAAAGCCAGTTTGAACTGAAGTCACTTTCCTTTTAACTGTTCTAATTCCTGTTCGTAAATTAGCTGTTGATTGACTTCTACTCGTGCCTGGGTGTCTTCGATTATTGAACCAATTAAAAACAAGTGCAGGGCCTGCGGTAATCCACGCCAATAATTGACAAACAAGTTTGGCTCCTTTGGTCATTCGTCGGAATAGTGTCCATATAAATCCAAGTAAACTCAACACAAGTGCGATTGAGAGTCCAATAATTATCATGGCTGTTTGCGGACGACACGTGGGGTTTGTGATTAAGTCCCAACAGAAGGTACATTCAATCAGTAAACATTCATCAACTGCGGGGCAACGTTGTTCAATCTCTGTTGAGTTCTCTGAGTTGTACCAGAAGTGTCCCGTGCAAGTATAATCATTAACCAGTATTTCCATAGGTAACTCGAAAACAAATCTATTCGTAGCAGCTCGCACCCAACAGGAACCCATACAACAAATTTCAGTTTTTTGAATGTTAGGCGGGCTGGTGACGATAACTCCCTTAGTTGTACACACGACGTGGCTGGTGATATTTGCCTCTACCAGAGGGTAGACGAATGCAGTAAGACAAGTTAAAGCCAAAGTTCCCATTCTTGCTCGTGCTCTTGTGATCATTTTGTGACAAGGTGGCTTTGGTAAGTTAGAATGTTTTTCTTTGAGTTCTTTAGTTCGTTGAGTTGATGGTTCCTTCATGGTGTCAGGCGTGGGTGTTATTGCAATTTCAACATTTTTACTCGCCTCTAGTGGACATAAACGATTGATCGGTCGGGTTAGTATTTTGCCATTTGCCATCAACACCTTGGCGCTTCTAATATTGGGCTCTCGACCATTTAATTCGGTAATTTTTCCCAGGCACCACAAATTGCGAGGACGCAGGTCTTCTTCTATCAGCACTACATCACCAACCATGGGTATAGATTTGTCTTGACATCGAGGTCCATGGTGTGTCCATCCTGCTCTCTCACGCAACACAAGCAAGTATTCCTTGGTCCAACGAGTCCAGTAATATTCAACAGCTTCCTGAGTGACACGCCAAAGGTTTGCCAACCTTTCATGGGAAGGTAAACGTTTATCCTCGTCGTCCTCCATTTGGGTAGTGGCCAAGTGCATGTCCGCTCCAGGTAACAAAAAATCCATAGGCCGCAACGGTATTGGAGCTCCTTCAGCATCAGAGACAGTTGTGATTGGTCTGGAGTTTATACTAGCTTCAGCTTCGGTCAGAAAGGCGCTCAAGTCGTCACACGGTAAAATTCTTCGTCCAAGTGTCCGTTGAATTGAATGTTTGACCAAAGCCACTAAGCGCTCGTAAATTCCACCTGCCCAAGGGCTAAGTTGCGGTATGAAGTGCCAATCAATTCCAGAACGTGCCGAGAATTCTGCTGGGTCTTCTGTCATCGCTAGTGTCTTGAGGGCTTTTCCTGTTTGCACAAATGTCGGCGCATTATCGGAAAGAATTCTTCTAGGCTTTCCTCGTCTGCTGATGAAGCGCCTCAGCACATTGATAAACGATGGTGCACTCAAGTCGTAAGTCGGTTCCAAATAGACTGCTCTAACGGACAAACATGTGATAATGACAATCCAAACTTTGACAACCACTCCGGCTTGTCGGGCGAGTGTAGGGCCAAGATAGTCGAGACCAACAGAATCGAACGGTCGTCTTCGTTGGACTCTATCAGCAGGAAGTGGTGGCATAGTAGGTAGGGCATATTTTGGTTTATTCATTAGTCGACATCGAGTACACTGAGAAAGTACGTGTTTGGTGGTCCTTCGCGCCTGAGGCAAGAAAAATTCTCGTAATAGTTCGGTGAGAGTCCAGTCAACTCCAGCATGTTTGAGTCGTTGATGCACGTCCCGAATAATCAGAGAAGTAATCCCAGCATGGCGTGGTAACCAAATGGGATTAGAAGGCGCACAAGCTTCAGCGTTCTTGTCAATCCTCGTTTTTATTCGTATTATTCCTTCCGAGTCAATCATAGTATGTATGCTTTTCATTTCCAGTTTATGTTCACGTTGTGCTAATCGGATGAGCAAGGAACGAGCAATTCGGTAATCTTTGGCAGTAAAAATACCATTTGTAGAAATACAGGTTGGAAACTGTACACAACGTAGCTTGATGAAACGTAGCACCAAAATGACTGTTCCCAGCAAGGTAAGCCACGAACTAAATCGTTTCGCCTCAAAGATAGATTCAGCCTGTAATTCGTTAACGACACCAACAAATTGTTCGTCCAAATTCTCATTTCGTGCCATTTCACTCTCTACAGGTAAGTTGAATCCCATTTCGCTAGGCCATTGGTCGGAGGGGGCGTTAATCCAGGTCGGTCCGTTCCACCAGAGTTGGCTTTCCATCAGTTGAGCTGCGGTGGTTCCGCGTGTCGCCACGTCAGCAGGGTTGTAACTAGTGTTCACATAATGGAAGGTCATGTTCTCTTGTTTTCTAATTTCCCGCAGGCGATTTTCCACGAAGACTGGTTGAGTTTCTTTACTTCGTATCCATGCCAAGACTATTTGTGAGTCGCACCATAAATGAGTTGCAGTGATTGGACGATGTATTTGCGCACTAACAAAAGCCGTTGCTCGCACACCCAACAACACTCCCATGAGTTCCATTCTCGGTATAGTCATAGTTTCACGTGCCTTTCTTGGTTTGAGCCTCACTTTTGAAAATACAAGCCTCGCTTTTGATTCAGTTCTTAAATAAACTGCAGCAGCATAAGAAGTCTCGGAAGCATCAGTAAACACGTGTATTTGTAAGTCGTTATTCTTCCCGAGTACGAACCGGTCCTGTCTGATAATGGCTCCATTCCAATCCACACAAATTCTTTTCCAATGTTCGGATTCTCCAGTAGATAGTTCTGTGTCCCAACCATGAGATTCATCCCATAACTTTTGAAAGAACTTCTTTGCCTCCAATGTGCATGGTCCAATAAGTCCCAAAGGATCAAAAATTCCAGCAAGCACACTCAGAACAGTGCGACGAGTGACAGATGAATTGTTCTTAATTGTCGGAAGCTCGAAGGATATCTCGTCAGATTGAACGTCCCAGGTAATTCCCAGAACTTTAGCTTGTGTTTGCTCAAGTCGGTCCTCTTCCGGCAGTGCACTCATGACTTCAATTGAGCTGGAGATATATTCACGTAAGTTCATTTTAGCTTGTCTGAACACTTCTTTAGCAGTAATGGCTTTTGTTCATGCTTCGTCCATATTTTCACACTCAATGAGTAGATTATCCACGTACACGTTTCTGAATAACACTGCATCTTGTTCAGGTCCAAATTTAGCCAAGTGAGCACGGATAACGGCAGCCAACATAAACGGAGATGAAACAACTCCAAAAGCCACACGGCAAAATCTATAAACAGCCAGGTTCTCGCCAGTTGGTGGTTGCATAGGGTCCTTCGCCCACAGAAATTTACACACGTCACGGTCCTCTGGTTCAAGTTCAATCATCAGAAAAGCCTTTTCGACATCAGCAAGCACTGGTATTGCGCAGTTACGGAAACGGAGAAGCACACCAGCCAGATCAGGTAACAAAACCGGTCCACGATAGAGACAGTCGTTCAAACAAGCTTGGCCTTTAGGATGGGCACTAGCGTCATAAACCACTCTCAATTTTTTCGGAGTAATGACGGCATGGTGAGGCAGGTAGTGCTCTCGGCTACCCGGGCTGCAACTTGTTTGTTCTATGATTCCTTGTTGTTGTTGCTCGTCGATAACTTCGTTGTACTTCTTAAGCTGACTTGGCTCGTTTCGTAGTCGATTGAGTGTAGCCACCAGTCGTCGATAGGCCATAGCAAAATTGGATGGTAACTCCGGACGAGGATCCCGCCACGGCCATTTCACACAGTAACGCCCATCCTCCAACTGCCGAATTGACTTGTCGACCATTTTCTCCGCCAGTTGGTCGTCGTCTTGTGCTGGGTCGTCCTTTATTCCAATAGTCTCCAGAGACCAAAATTCTTCAATAGTCGTTGCTGTTGGCATTTGTTCTTGATTAGAAGGATTGACCGCCATTAACGATGAGGAAGTCCCAGTCAGAGCAGGTAAGTTCACTTCTCCCCCAAGTACAGGTCCAAGGACAGTTCGGATGACTGTAAATCCATGGTTGGTCATCTTACAGCCAATGAAGTACTTCCAAAATTCCCGCGTCCCAATCAGTATGTCCGGTTTTCCAATGTCCATTCTCAACACGTAACTATCCGAGCAGCTGTCGCCTATGTATTTCGGAGTTTCCATTTGGGCGGCAATTTCTTCAATATAGTTGAGTTCAATTTTCTCCCATTGACCATCCAATCGCTTAAGTTGTAGTTTATATCGTGCAGAATCAAAACATAACGGTTCTTTCTTTTCACCACCAAGTACATGGACACGCATCTTCTCAGACTGCTCTTTCTTCAATCCAAGTTGACGAACAAGAGATCCCGAAATAAAACTAGTTTGACTGCCAGGGTCGAGGAAGACGACTGCCGTGGCTTGACGATTGCGTGCTCCCATAGGCCGGACAGTCACTTCAGTAACCATGAGTAGCGCTCTTGGTCTACTTGTCGGTTGCGTCTTGAGTTCAGTTTCTTTACCAATAGCAGGTGGGTCTGTGGCCATTCCAGTGTGAGTAGTCGGTGCTTGTTTAATTGTCGATACCTCGCGTGTTGATTGGCCAAGTGGTTGTGAGTTAGCTCCAGTTGGTCGTCCTGCGCTCGTTGTAGTCGGAAGTGCGCCTTCCTTTCGTGGTGCCCCATGTCCAAAAAATGAGTGAGAGTGACCAGCACAAGCTGTCACTAAAAAAAGAACAGGGAATGGAATTTGGCGGGAAAATAAAATGGACGGTAAAAATAATGGGGTGAACGAGTGAAATTTTAACGAAAAGTTGACGGAAAAATAGGGGGGTAAAAAATAACAAATTAATTAAATTAATTAAAAAAAACAAATTAATTAAAAGTCGCCAAGAATTGGCGACAAATATGGAGATTGTGCTGAAGACTTTGCTGAACAATTTAATTTTTATTGTGTTAGTGGGGATTGCTTTGGGGTACTGTAGTTGGTATTGTGTGGTATTGCTTATTGTTAGACAGGTCTCGATTGAGGAGCTGCATAAAAATCGTTTTTTAAATAGAGGATAACAAATATTTGGTATTTTATATGTAGGACATCCGAAAGTATTATTCTAAAATAACAAAATATCTACTTTTCAGGCATTATCTTTTCTACTTTTTTATCTTTCTGCCATTCATTGCCATATTATCTTCTTTATTGGCAAATGCCCTCTAAAAGAAAATCGAATTCATTTTTCAGAGGTTTTTATCCTTAAATATTTTTTAAAAATTATTTTTGAAGCAATTAGCTATTTTTGTTTCTTGTATAGTAATTGCTGGATCTTTTTGTTGGTTATTTGCAAACTACAAAAATATAGAAAATACTTTTTTGATAAATTACAATTTTTTGGTTGGTTTTTATAAACTACGGCTTTGATTCGGGACTAAGGTTGCTGTTCCGAAACCCGAACTTTTTTCTAGATCTTGTTCCAAAGGTTTTGTGATTTTCCAGTAATCTCAAGGATATATTTAGTGTAGTGTAGCGGTGCTAAAAGTTCGGGACGTGACATATGTAATTCGATCGTCTCGGAGAGCTGAGTCGAATGGTACCACTCTTTACTTTAGGAAATGATTTCTGGACCGAGAATAGGTCCCGAAAAATTGAAAACCATAGAGGGAGTAAGCTCGATTTTTGGGTAAAAAATTCGAATATGCAAATTCGAATTAACATTATAATTTTCCTAATTTTGCAATTTTCTGGGATGAGTCTGGCCTCTTTCCTTAATTAAGAAATAATAACTTCTTTTTTTATTGGCAAACACTTTTTTAAATCGGAAATCAAATTTATTTTCAAGGGTTAATGAATATCCTTTTGACTATCTCAAATCAGACCCATAATTTTAAAATTTTAAGGAAATGCCTACAGCAGTTTTGTGTTCTTTACTGACAGGTATTTGTGGTGTAGTAGAAATTCATTACAATATAAACTATTCGCATACCTACAATTGGACTGAGAGATGGGCATTAATAACTGTTAATTAAAAATTATTTTTGAAATTTAATTTTAATATAAAGGTCGATTCGGCATTACTCGTTCTCTTACATGCTGGAATGGCGTTTGCTTTAACATGATTTGATAAGAGATATTTTATGTAAATATAATTTTATAAGATAAATAATACACATATTTTGAATAGAATTTGCTCATTCTTAATTTACTTATACATAAATATTTAATTTTTATATAAAAATATATAGTCCAGAGACCGGACAAAAATTTTCGTTATAGTTATATAGGGATATTTTTCAAGATAACGTTATAAATTCTCGTACGGCATTAGTAATATGTATAAACTAGACTTTAAAACATTTTTTAAATGTTTTTTTTATTTAATTCGACAGTGTTCAAAAAATCATTTTTATTTTTTAATAATCGTTTTTGAACATCCGATTGCTGTGAAAGGTAAAGAGAAGTCATTCTGAAAATTTCGAATCCTGTTTCGCAGCCATGATTAATGAGATTTTTTTATATTAGGCATTAAGTCGGACCATTTTTAATATTTGAGGAAGGATAATATGTATTTGAGGAAGGAAAGGATGGGGGGACGAACTGTAATAATTCAAAAGCACAAAAATTGAAAATAAACCAAAGTTTTGAGTGATAATTACCTTGGGTAATCATTCTTCGATATCTCGCTTGACGGGTCATTAATCGAAGAAGTATGGCTAGAAACTTTTCCTTTGGTTTAAATCATAGGTGTCAACCAAATTTTAATAACTGTAACTTAAATTGGAATGTATCTTGCAATGGGGGTTTCAAAAGTTAAAAGTTGAAGAAATTTTTTTTAATTTTAAAAAATATTTATCAACATATATTTAATGAATAAAAATAAATTTGTTAAAAAATTAAGAAGATAAAATTTAAATATTTACAGAAATAATCTAATTATGAATAAATTGGAGTAACTTGGTTTAACTGATTGTTATTAACAACACTTGGAACAACTAATATTGGAGTTGATGAATTATTAAATATTTTTTTGAAAATTTTTTTGATTAAATTAAATTCTTTTAAGTAAGCTTCTCTGTAGTCACAACTTTAAAAAATAAAAATAAATTTTGGATTTATTAAGCTTTAAATTTACAAAGAAATGTTTTTGAGGATTCAGAGCTTATTCAGTGCATTAGTTGGTATACAGAGAATGGTCGGAATTTCGATTTCCGAAAATCTAATAAAATTTCTGATTTCCGAGATTTTTGAAGATTGTCCCGACTGAGAGGGAGAATCCCAAAGCTTCTTCCTAAATTTTGGATGTTATGATCACAAAAAACATTTCATTTGACGAAAAAAATTTGCCTATTAATGAATAAAATTGGAGCATTTGCAGCTAAACCAACAAGATAAATAACAGAAATATATGTTGAAATAAACCAATTATCAACACTAAGAATTTCATTCTTCTTTGTAGAGTCTCCAGTAATAAGATAAGTTATTATGTAATCAAGCAATAATAGACCAATATTAAGAAAAACTATTAGAGACAGAGAACGATTAAGTTTTCTCATTTTTTGATTGGTTAAATCTGAACAGTTGAAATTTTTATTAAAAAATTTCCTATTCATAAAAAGGCTCATAATGGTCAAAAAATTTTTTTTCTCAATGTCACTATTTGCCTATGGCATTCAATCATTCAATAAAGGTCATAAAATCTGGATTAGAGCTATAGTTTTTACACATTACAACGAAGACCAGGTAGGTACTAGTACCTAAGCGCGGGGGATGGGGCCGAAGAACCGTTCGGTATTTTGAGACCCAATACCAACCAGTCCCCTATTTTAATTTTTAAAAATGACCAGTTTTGTATTTAGCTAAAATTGAAATAATTAAATAAATAATTGAAGATATAATAAAAATTATCATTGGAATAAAAGGATATATTGGATTAATTGAAGCAACAAAGAAAACATTATCAAATGCATAGCCAGTCACTATTACAGTTTTATAATCAAATATAGGCATAATATAAAGTAGAAAGATTATTATATCAAAAAGTATTAATGTTGTTAAATGAGCGATAATATAGAATTTTTTGTTCAAGTTAGTATAACTGAAAAATATAAATCACGAATATACCTCAAGGTACCACCGAGTTATAGCTTTTACCATACATGGTCATGGATATGGATACAGATAATACCAAAATGCCTGCGGATATCCGCATGTATCCGTCTGTATCGCCGTAAATATCCGGATACGGATACCGAAATCCGTACCCATGTCCTAGTCTGGCTTTTACAAAATTATCTAATCCAGGATGCCATGTAATAGTTCGATTCAGCTTGATGGATTCTTTCAAACAAAATAAAATTTGTACATAAAAATAGAAAAATCACAATAAATATCCATGTGGAGGGGGAGGAGGGACACAAGAACCAACTCAGTAACGATAAAGGTATTCCCGAATTGAACTTATCAAATATCCTATTAATAACACAACATTGTTTCTACCATATAATTAATTAATTCTATCAAATATTATTTTCAAATAAACTTACAATATTGGGAAAGATAAAGCAAATAGCCGGTCAAATGCCATCAATATATACATAAAATAAGTCGAAATGTTTAAAATAACTATATAAACTACAGAAAATTTAGTCATCCAAACTGGAAAAAAATTTAAGCCAATACATACTCTTACAAAATAAATTAATGTCATTAAATGAGGTAAAACATCAATTACTGAGTAAATAAACAGTAAGGTGCTTGTATTGCTTTTTAATGCAAGATATTTTTGCCTTAAATTTGATAAAATTTAATTTTAAAGAATGCAGGAATTATCTGCTTAATTTGTGCTGGCATAATACATGGGAATCAAAAAATATTTGAATAGAAAGCTGCCATTCTGTCCCAACTATGTCCTATTTATGGTTGGGGATTCCGATATCCGTGTCATAAAAAGTCTGAATATTCGAAATAAAATTTTGTACGAGTTCTCTGTTGTACGAATTTTATCATCCATAACCTTTTAATGCTTGATCCAATCCTTATGAATCTTATACATATGTATAATTCGTAAGCCCTCGAAAGTGACAGCCAACGACTTTTTAAAAGGATGGACCAAGTCTGATCACCACATTTATTTCTTGCACCTTTCATATCGTCATCCAGTTGGAAAAAAGATAAAGGGTATTGAGGGCTTTCGATTGATATAAAGAGAGAGCTAGGGTTGCCGTTTTCGTGTCGGGCCGACGTTCTAGTTATTTTTATCGGATCTC